AATCGTTTTCAATATTATCAAGAAAGTTGGTCATTATTTGCCGCCCCCCCAATGGCACAGCGGCATGTCTGCGGACTTATAACGCTAGAAACCGGGTTTCGATACCCGTGGTGGGCAGAGCACAGATAGCCCTTTGTGTAGCTTTGTGCATAAATTAAACACAAACAAACAAACACTATTTGCCACGTATGCATCACGTGATTTCAAAACTTCCTTTAGCTAAAAACAATAAAAACGTCTAAATTTCAAAATCCTAGCCTACAACAATATACATATATAATTTTACATTAGCATTAAGCCTATTACATTTTTAAACACTATATTCTTTATCTGGACCAATAGGGATTTTCGATAATTAGAAAAGTTTATAACAGTAGTATTCTAGCCCCACTATATTTGTCATATCCATTGCCGACTACACATTTTACTCAATCCAGATCTCTTCAGCTCTATCAATGTCTTATGACAAGTATAGCTGTAATCATTCTTCGCCAACTTATAAAATGCCTACACACCATAACAATATACATATACAATGCAATGTAACCAAATTCTTTTCCCACTGCTCCCACTGCAGTTTTGGTTTTGGTGTGTCGTGTTTATAATTTCAGTTTTTGTTGCCTAATATCTTACACTAAATAGATTAGTGAGAAAGTTTTGTACTAAACAAATAAAAACAAATGCGCAATGTGATTTCTTACATCCAGACTTAAACATTTTAAATATTATACTTATGATTAACAAAATAATAGCAGCATAATAATTATAAATAAGGAACACATCTTTCAAATGCAATTGTCTTTGGTGTTTTAAATAGGGTTCTTTTTTTATTATTAGTTTGTGTTTTATCAGAAAATCACTGTTTAATAAAAGATACTGATAAAACAGCCATATTCTATCTTGATCCGTAATATCACACGCTACTTTTTATATATTGCATAACAAATTGTGGAACCAGGAATCCAGCCGTGGTGAGAAAAGAGTATCATTTTGTAACAAATGCGAACATAAAGGCTAGGATGAAAAGCTGCCGAGGTGTCCCAGGCAGTAGTTTACAGCATGATATATATTTGGAAAAGTGACACAAGTCATACGTACACAAATTGCTTCCATGACGTATCACTTCAGTCATTTCATGCCTCAAACTGCCGGAGAATGAAATGAGTTTTCATGTTATTCCATATGAAGACATATCGATCAAGTTATTCGATGCAACAGGTTTAAAAAGCTTAATGGACTACAACTGCCTATTTCAGAGGCGTCGATAGGTACTTAAAATATTTGGGGCTCGGGCTCATAGGCGCGGGTTTTGGTGTTTCCGCATGATATAATTTTAATTTGTCAAGACACCAACTGTGATTTGGGACGCTGTCAGATAGAATCGAGGCATGGGCCTGTTCCAGTGCATAGCGACGCCTCTGGCCTATTTACTAAAATTTGATGACGTTTTTAGTTATATTGAGGTTGTCTTCAGATCAATCAACATATATAATGACCCGTAAATGCCTCAGTATGAAAACTGAAACTTTGTCCTTTTTTCATTCAACAAGCAGTTGCAGTCCATTAAAGTTTTCATAGCTACTATATCTATTATGCCTAAAGTTCCACTGAAACAATGTCAGATGCAGCGTCAATGGATTTCTGTGTGATCGGACTATTGAAGAGGATGCTGGGAAATCGTCGCCTTCATACACTAGATGGATTATGTAACGCGTGTACTGCAGAGAGGAGGGACGTGCTTTGAACATAACAGTTTTATGACGGAGACTTTTGCGATGGAAACTTTCCTGGAGAGCTATTATCCTGAGATAGAGCATGACCAGCTGTGGCAACATGGATTGCAATGACGTGGTGAGGCTCAGTTTTTGAGGATTTACTGCAAGACATCAGTGGTATATTAACATTTCAATAATTATTAAGATATCGCAAAGTTCTTGTCATTCGCTTGTCTAATCAAAAGCTTCATAATTACTAACTATATAAATTTATAGTAAACAAATTACTTGATGTGTGATATTCTTAATCAACATTCCTCCTTACTTTTTGCATTTTTTTACTGTGAAACTGAAGTTCCGCAGTTCGCGTCTTGTTACCGACAAAAAGAAATATCGCGTTCCGCACTTTGGGGCCATGAGTACGTTACAAGATTGCCGGCCAAATCACAATGCAGATAACCCTCGTGTTACTTTGCTCGAAATATAACAAAACAATATAAAAACAATCTGTGTTGATATGAAGGTACTTGTCCTGGCATGGCATAATGTTTAGGGTGCTGGGCTCGCAATCATTGCGTCGCGGGATCGAAACCTGTCACCGAATATGCTCGCCCTTTCAGTGTTAGAACATTATATAATGTACTGAATCTAAGCTTCAAGTGGACAGCAACTACCTGTTGTAGAAACCTACAAATGTAGAGGACGACGTTTCGAAAGTTTTCCGCCTTTCGCCTAAACAACCTCTCAAAGATTATATAATGTGATTGTCAGTTCCACTATTCGTTGGTAAAGAATAACCCCTGGTGATGACTATGTGATTTCCCTCTAGTCTATCACTTTAAAATTAGAAACAGCTAGCGCAGTTACCCCTCGAGTAACTTTGCTCGAAAATTCAACAAACATTTGAGGTAAAGTATCTTACTTAAGGACACAACAACATGAAGGTTTCTGACCTGGTAGATTAGTTTATGTGTAGTATACGATACTCTTAAATTTATTTATTTGTTATAAAAACAATGCGAAAATTCAAAATATCAAATTTTAATTCAAAGCAAAAGCATATTAGCTGGAAATTATGAATATGGTGTACACCTAATTTAGACTTAAAAGTAATGGCTGATGAACCAATGAATGGTGCGATGGCATACATGTAAAAGGGGTCGCACGACGGAACAACGGTAAGCTCACGGACTTACAACGTTAAAATCTGGGGTTCGATTCCACGCGGTGGACACAGCAGATAATCTGATGTGGCTTTGCTCTAAAACAAACAAGTAAACATGTAAATAGATCACTTTATATGTAAAGTGGGAGTAAACAACAGTTTGGAAATTGAAAACAAAATTAGAAAAATATAGGACTGCTTACCAATGTTATTTAGTTACTTTATTTTTATATTTGTATACACGTTAGATAAAGATCATATTGCTATACTTTAAAATATAAGAAAACTCCCAAATGTTCAATGTGTACCAGTTCTAACAGACATAACGTCGGTATATTCTCACATTACTAATGAATATTTGTAGGTGGCGCTATAAACTCTTCTTGAAAGCACTTGTAACTGTCCTAAGCCTATCTTGTACTTTGTAGTGTGTGTTGAATTCATGTGTTTAGAACGCCAAATAATAAATGCTATTGTTACAATTTACATCGAATAAGGATCGGTTTCTTGTTAATAAAAATAATAGTACCTAAAAGTGTACCATCAATTCGACGAAATTATATTGATTAGGCCTCCAAAGTGTAACAAGCTGAATTTTCTTCTGTAACTTAAGTTTCACTTTTTTTATGGCGAAGTAATCAAGTATTCATTTAATGTTAATTTGTAATGACTAAGCTAAGACTAATTTAAAAACTTGGCAAATTTTACTTTATAAGTTTATCATATAGCATTATAAGTTTTACAAAGTTTTAGCCTTAGTGTAAAACAAGTTTTATAAAGAATGGATGCTACAAAAGCAACGTCAAACCCCACTAGTAATAATAATACCACTGTCGTAAGGCCAAATAATAATAGTCCAAACATCACTACAACTACAACCACAATGTTGCCATCCACAGGAGGTGACCATTCTGTACGCCATATTCTTTCAAATTGTAACGTTAATACCAGTAGAAGAGATGATCAGTCCTCCGACTATCATCGAACAACAAGGAATGTTGAGTTTTACGATGAAAATAATGGAACAGAACCTCTCATAGAAATTGGAGAACATTACATGGTTAGAAGGTCTGATAACACATGGCGTAAGTTAATGTTTTGTTAGTTAATTTGTGGTAGACTTACCCAATTGATGTAAAACTAAAGTCATGCCCAGTAATGATAATAGTATCTCTTAAATGTGCCATTTTTCCTAACACTGTGAATGGTGAATTATAAAAGTAGTAGGACTTAATGGAGTGTTCCACATTTGTGATTGAGAAGAAAGAAAATCCATAATTCCTCTTTTCCCGATGTAACATGGCAAAAAGTATGTTTAATAGAACAATTCAGCACATGAAAATATCTTTATTGAGATTCCTAATTATTTTACTTTAAATTAAAGCATTAACACTTTATTATAAAATTCATGCCTAGAATATCTTAAATACATACATATCATTTAAGGACAAGAGACCTGTTGGCCCATCTAGGCTGTCCCATCTATTAAACTAAGCTTTTTTTAGTTTCAAAATATAAAAGAAACACTCAAAGCCAGCCCTTATCATTCAACTTGTGTAAATTAATTGTATCAACCATGTCTGAACTAATTGTTTCAAAGGCCAACCACCCTGTTAGAAAAATAGTTGTTTTAGCTGTAGAAGACTCCTACCTTGCCAAAATTTGTATGTCCCCATTTTCACCATTAAATACAGAAAAAGATGATGCATCAACATTGTAAGTTCTCTTAACAGTCTTAAACACCTCAATCACACCCTAAAATCCTATTTGCCCTGCCATTAGCAATAGCACATTGCTTGTATGGCTTAAAAAACTGATCAACTAGAACATCAAGATCCTTTTCTTCCATAACATTGTTAAGGTTATTCCTATAAATTACACTCATAATTCAAATTATTATACCCTACATGTATTACCTTGTATTTATTATGATTAAAAGCCATCTACCATTTATTCACCCAGCTTGCCAAATAATCCAAATCCTTTTGTAAAGCAGCAGCATACTCTTCACAGCCAGCAACATGCAGGACCTAGATATCAACCTCATGCTATGTGAAGGTTGAGACACAAAAATGGCACGACTTAAAGGAGTTTTTAACATTTGTATCCCTGACAAAAGAAAATCCACTATTTCTCTTTCTTATCAATGTAGTATGGCACAAAACTTGTAAACCTCTAAATTTAATTCTTGAGGACAGTGTTGTTACAATCCTGTGATTTTGCCTGGTAACATGATCGCTATCATGACAAAGGGTCAAACAATAATGAAGCAAGTACAGCTGCATGTATGCAATTAATATAAATCTACTGTATACACGTGTAACTGCTGAAGCTGCTATGCAAATTCTTCAATTATCATTCATACATTATTCTTTCATAGTCAAATTACCAATCGCAATGTCTTGCCAATACATGGAGAAGTTGTCAGCAAAGGCATTAGCAGGATATCGTGTAAAGTTGTAATTAATTGGGCTTGATTCTTGTCCCTGCCAGCACCCTGCTGACTCATCGATCAACAACCCAACAGAATGGCCCAGTGTGCAGCACCCAGATGTGTAAAATTACCTTGTGTTAAAAAAATCAGAAGACAAGATTTACATGATAAAAAATGAGCTGAGCAAACATAGTTATAGTCAGACTTTGGCTCCCACAGCTTTGTTATCCCTTCTTGTGTTCCACAGTTGATAGTTATCAGCTACAACGCTTCTCTCCTTTCATTAGTATATTTTTGTGGGAAACGTGCTAAAAAGTAAACTATCAGGTCAAACTTGTTTTTAAAACAATTATTGACAAATTGTCTTAAGACTATTCTAGACTAGGAATAGAATTCCACAAATGTTTGCTTTATGCTTACTATTAAGGTGAGCTGGAGGACTGGGTATCAAATAAAAGGAAAGTTCAGGTCTTTTCGACTTGTTATTGGTGCAATTATAGACACAACAACTTTTCATCATACTTGCAGGTTTGGAACAAGAAAAGATTGTCACAAACACAAATAGTCATTACGAATACAAGTCTAGACAGCAGGCAAGTGTACAGAATGAACGAAATTTTTCCATTGTTGCACTGTTTGCTTGCCCCTTCACCTTGGTTGCTTTGCGAACATTGCTTTGTGGGAGGGCAAAGTTCCCGGATGTTTGACCTCAAGAATAGTTTCACCTTATGAAAACATTTTTTTAGGATCCTTGAAAAAAGTAACTTATAATAATAGTCTTGGTCTGCATTACTTGAATGGGAAAACCCATATTGTACCTACTGTTTTTGTGTTTCAGATCTCATACACAGTGTGTCAATATAGATGAGTGACGTACATGTGAGAAACATGGCATGATTTTTTATGTTAAGCTAGGCATTTAAGCTTGACAATTAATGGAATTGGCTAATTATCAGGCTTATTAATCAATTACATTCAATTAATTGATTATTCTCGTAAGGCTTAGATAGTTGGAATAATCAAAAATATTAATAAGCAGCAACACTGATTTTGATTATTTTGTGACTCAGTTAAGCTGAAGAACCTTAAATTAATGAAAATCATAATGTTGGATAGTTAGAACAATTGGAAACAATGCTTCCAATTAGTTGATATTAATTGATTCATTTGTAATTTTGATTATTTTGTGTGACACTAATTGATGTAATCAATGCTCATGGGTAATTTGTTTTATTAATTAGTCAAGTTAATTTCCAATCTCTAGAACTTATGGCTAGGGTAAACATAACCATTATGGTCAAATGATAAATTTATGTTAACTACTAACCGAGTATATTGGCGGTTAATTGAAATCAAGATAATTAGCCACACGGATAAGACCTTTTTTTACTGTAGCACTAAATCAGGTTCTTATATAGGTTAAATGTGTGTGTACAATAACACAAGCCTGTGAATTTAAACTTCATAAAAGTAGTTTTAGTTTTAATAACAGATTTTCCATAATTCAACTATGCAGATTTCAAAAACAATATTCCTTTTTTTTATCACGTAAGGATTTTTTACAAATCGGGAATTAAAAAAACTCCTACTTATATCAAATTATTATTTCATTTACCACAATAAACATTTTTTATTATTATTATGTTTGTGAACAAAAACACAAACAAACTGAAGAAAAGGAAAGAACATTGATGTCAAATGAATATGCATACTCATTCATCCCAATATTTTTTCCAACACAGAAGTAAGACTAACTGGTCTACAGATTTTATAGCAATTATCACCCCCTTTAATAAAAGAGGAACATAAGCAACTTTCCATTCATTAGGCACCTAACCACTCTCTGTTGCTTCACCAAAATATGAGAGAGAGACTCGCATATCTGATCTCTGACCTTTCAAATTCTATAGAAAATCTTCTCTGATCCTAGTGCTTTATTTTTAATCTCTATATCATTATTACCTTCAAGGAATTATTATTTACATGATATAAGTCAATTCCATTATTTTTATAGAAGGATCAGGAATATTGTTATCCTCTCTTCAGAAGTTTCTTATGAAAGCAGAAGGGAAGAAAAAAACTTAAAGCTCAGCCATTTCATAGTCATAAACAAAATCCTTGCCATTATCATCCTTTAAAGGTCCAATCTGCACTCTAAAATTTTGCTTACTTTTAGTATACTTAAAAAAATCATTGATGTTAGTTTAACATTATCAACCAGCTATTTCACATAAGCCCTTTATGATTTCGACCTTCTTTTTTAACCAAAACCATAGCCTTTCTGTAGTTATGTAAATCTTTCAGCTTGTCAGTCAGTTTAAACATCTTATGGCATTTATCCAAGATTTTCTCCTTTATATATTTAAAAAAACAAATTAGGTTTGATCTTCCCTGTTATCATTTTCCTAACATCACCTTTCAGTTTATTGTCCCATCCACTAATGATAAATCTTGCCTCATGGCCTCAAAACTGACTTTCTGAAAATTATGAACTAAAACTTAATTTCTTTTTATCTCAGCTTGTAGCAAAATGTCAAACCTTCCACAAATGGTATCCTAGCATAATAATATTTAAACTTGAATGTATTTAAAAAAAAGACTAGTAATAAGCCTGTCTTGAAACACATTATTAAAAGGAGAGTTACTTATCCTTTACATGTATAGTTAATTTTACATTAAAAAAGAATACAAGTAAAAGCAAGTTTTGATAGTCACAAGCTACAGGAATTAACTAACTAGATAGGAAGATTATTGTAAGTTTAAAAATCACTGAAACATACAATGACATTTAAAAAATTCTTAAGAATTTTAAAAACAAAACCACATCAATGGTATTGCACATGAGGGGCTACAAAATTCATTACTATCAAATTCAATATGCTTTAAAGAAAAAATTTGCATTTGTGATTCAAATTTTGTGATACTTGATTTTAATCAGTTTTATTTGCTTCCATTTCCCTTTATAATATCCCAGTGACAGCTCATCATTGGCATAGCAGGTTAGGAACCAATTCTTAAATATATTTTTTTCAAATTTACAAGTAATTTTCTCATTCATTTTAGAATAGATATAATTTAGTTAAACAGGACCTACCAAGTTTCCAGAAAAGTCCATATCTTAAATGTGTATTGTTTCCCCCTCTAGATCCAGCTGAAATAATACAAGTAAGAAGAAGTGACCAGGATGGACGAAAGTTTGAATATTATGTTCACTATGAAGGCTGTAAGTATGGTAGTAAAATAAAGTCTGATGCAAGGTGATTTTGAGAATTTACTGACTAACATTCCATATTTATGGTACAAAGATAAATGTTAGCTTTAAAAATTTTTTTTTCATTTCCACATTAACTGAGATATATTTTTAAAAATCTATCAGAGAATCTTTAATTATATAACAGACAATTGTAAAGAGTGGGGGCGCGTATCTCATCATAGTAGTTGATACAATACGTATCTGGATATTGAGGCCACAATATGATACGTATTTAGATACAGAAGTTTTACCAACAGTTTGTTACAAAGTTTGACAGTCTTGTCTGTAATTTATTGTCTATGTTACTAACATTGTCTTATTTAAATATTTCACACTTTACAGTACTTTCTCAAATTCTTAGGTTTGATCAACTAAATGGCAGCTGGCAAGAGAAGTAAAATATAGAAAAGTTAATATCTGTATATCTGTTTTGTTATTGTTAATTTGTTATGTTACTTTGCACGTAATGTTTTTGATAAAAGAAATTAAGACAACTCAATAATCATCTTCTTTTATTCAATCATTAATTTTTAGCAAAAATACTTTATTAGAAATTCTGATTTGTTCTGTACAATAGACATAATGTTTACTGAAAGCTTGCCAAATTTCATGAAGATACATAAATCATATCAGAAGATGTATTGATACAATCGTATTGAGGCTTCATGATATGATACAAGTATGGTATTGCTTTATCACCACACCTTTAGTAAATAGTGTCCCAGAAGTCAACTATCTTAACATATGTGAGTTAAATCTCAACTAGATCCCATGTGTATATGTTTACATCTTTCATTTTTCCTGGTAAATCTTAGTATCTGTTGATGAGGTTTTCATACATTAGTCAATTTAAAAAGATTTGAAAATAATAACTAAATAAATAAATGTATATAAATATGTTCATTGCAAAATGGGCATCTTAGATTTTAGTACACCATATTGTAAATCTAAAATTAAAATCTAGCATATTCTTGTATGTTTTTACTTTCCTCCCCTCAACAATGTTCAGTTTCAGATTCTCCAGAACAAAATCTGTGGTACTTATGACATTTCAACTCTTAATTATTTGCTATACATTCTGTTAGTGTATAGAATAGTCATTGCTTGGAGACAGTTTAGTATCAAAATTTGAATTTTTGAGTAAAGTAGTTAATTTGTAAAATATTAATTTCATTTCATTTTTAGACAACAGACGTTTGGATGAGTGGGTTGACAAAGATAGGTTTGATCTTAGCCACACTCACCAAGACCTTGACAGTAAACACACACATATACAGAGTGATCTGGCTGACCAGCCTGATCGTAAAATAACTCGTAACCAAAAGAGAAAACATGATGAAATTAATCATGTACAAAAGGTAAGTATCTTAACAGCATTTACAAAAGAAAGTTTATTATAATTAAAAAACTAATAAAAATGGTATATTTTAGTAAATATTAATTGTTATGCTTCATTATTACAGTATTTCATTTTTGTGAGTAAAATGGAACACATTTTGGAAGATATTCCTACTACAATAATTTCTTTTAGTAATTTTATTGAATATTGTAGGCATATTAAAATAAAAATAGATGAAATATGAAAAGATTTAAATCAAAAAGTTACACTTACAGTATTAATAACAGTAATGAATTATAATTTGTTTTTAGTAACATTTTAAGTGGTGCATTTATTTATTATATATCAAACAACAAAGAATCCTAAAAATGACCTAGGAACAGAGCTGCCACGTCCTACCTTTTCTATATTTGTTTTAGTTATGGTTTGGATGTGGGCACTATTTCTGTCATTCACTCACCAAACAGAAAACTAAGTTTAAATACATAAAACCAGATGTTTTGACAGATCAAATGCCTACTTTTTTTATATTTTTAACTGAAGTAGTTGTTGTATCCTCCAGCTGAGTGCAATGCTGTGTTTGTAAAGCAGCACTCAAACCTGAGTTTTAAAAAATGTTTCAAAAATAATGGAATAATCAATGATACTAACTATTTAAATTCGATGATGAGGAACTCACTTTGAGACTAATAATGCTTGGAAACAGCTTGAATGGGTAATGAAAA